TAGCTGGCTGAGTTGATACGGGATCTCTGTTCCTGTGAAAACAAATAAGATCCCAAATATCATCAACCTGGAAAAACAGACCCTTAATAATCTCAGTCATACCACATATAAATATTTATAAAATTATACATTTGAACAATAAATAAAAAAAAATACTTGTATGTTGTTGATCTTACCTTTTTGTTCTCGCTGAAGTATCCGGCTGGGTTGATAAGGACTCTCTGCACCTATGAAAGTAGTCAAATGTCCCAAATGTTTGTGTAAAACATCAACATGGGAAAAACATCTAATAGTTTGAATCATAGTGTTTACTAAGACTCACTGGAGAGTGGATTTCTCCATGTCAGTTGCCACTGGAGAAAGGCTGTCTGTGATCCTGTCGATTTAAAAATCTTTAATAACATGGTGAAAATATACATACATTTGAAAATGACAGTCTAAAAATAATTATTTTTTTCTGGTGTCTTATTAATTTTACCTTTTCGTTCTCTCTGAAGTAGCTGGCTCTGCTGTCAAAGGCTCTCTGTTCCTATGAGCATAATCAAGATCCCTAATGTTTGTGAAAATCATCGACATGGAAAAAACATAGAGAGCTAGTAGTTCGAATCATAACATAGCTTTTAATAAGACTCACTTGAAAGTTGAGTTTTTAACAACTTCAGTTTCCACTGGAGAGAAGTTTTCTTTGAATCTGTCAGATACAAAAATCTGAAAAAAACATCCTGTAGCACAAAATATTGAAAATATCCAGTTTGCTATTTTGGAAATTACTCAGAGAATAATACAAAAGGGAGGACAGGTTATAGAAAAAAAGCAAGAAGATCAGCTACAGGTTTGGTTAAAGGACAGAATAAATTCTGGCCATGAGAATTTTAAATATATCTGCTGTACTCTGACATATTTATTCAAGGACTGATGATGATGTGGAGACTAATTCAGATACACTACCTTCTTTTATCCTCAAGATGGTTTTGGTTGTTAGTAAATCCATCCATTAAAGGTGTGTTTTTATCTAACTGCATGCTGTTCTGTAGTGACATCTCCAGCTTCACTACTTCCCCATGAAGATACAGAGGACTGGTTGGCAAGCTGCTTTCTTCTGAAAAAACTCCCATCCTATCCCAGTCCAGAGGAGAAACAGCACGTGGGGAGGGAGGGTCGGTGATATCGGGATCAACAGCGATCCTTTTCAGAAGTCTGACAGCTGAAATGTCTTTAAGCTGATGGTTTTGGTTCACATGGGTTGCAGTGGAAAGAACTGGGAGTGAACTAGCATACAAAATCCTGAACTCCCGGTCAAATGCATCAACAGCCGGTCCCCTCAGGACGGTGATCAGCTGCCGGTGCAGGTGGGTGTCCGTCCAGGTGAAGCTGCAGAATTCAGCAACAATGTTTTGAGTCACTTTCAAGCATTTACGCCTCACATGCAAAGAAAAGCAGGTGGAAGCCAAATCTGTTTACCTGTAGCTGCCGTGGATCACTGTGTCTAAATCCACCAGAATGAATTTCTCATTCATTTCCCCAACCAGCTTTCTTCCATCCCTCAAACCAAAACTTCTCCCACCAAGAGCTCGGACCCGTATGTTCTGTCAAAACACAAGGTTTAAACTCAGCATTGCATTACACTAAAACCTGTGACAGTGCCAAAAGCTGAATCGTCACATTGGTGTGTAATGCTGTAAGTACTGTAGGTACAAACAAGACCATGATCTTGATATGATTAAGTGGTACTTTAGGTTTCAAGGTGATATAATCAATGCAAAGGAGTGTAGGTTTGATCCCCTGAGGACACAAGAAAGAATGTCTAAAAGTACATGTAACAGCTGTGTTTACACTTGGATTTAAATTGATTTTGTGGAAAGGATTGGATATAAGTGTAAACAGGGTTTTAATTCCGCATTCTATCCAAGTATGGCTGAATTCTGCCCTGAATTTTACCTTCTGTTCATCTATTTCGTCAGCAGCTCTAATGGGAATGCTGTCTTTGCTTGAAAGCAATACAAACTCCATTGAATGCTGTGCAACCAGTTTAGCTGTGTGGCGGATTCTCTGCTACATTCCTACCATCAGCTTGTCAAAGCAAAAAGACAAGACTTGCAGTTTGAGTTCCAACATATGTGCACAGAGTCAAGTAACTCAAACTGAACTAAAGCAATAAAACTACATTTGAAAAACATTTTTAACTAAAATAAATACAAAAACTAGACTTTGGGAACAAATGTGTGCTTATATATGTCACTGCAGTAGCATGGGACATATGGGAAGTGTTTTTAGTTTCATCCTTTGTCAGCTTAAATTTGCCACCACATTGAGCACAACAAGGCTTTGTTGCACATGTTAAGACCAGGATAGCAAACGAAAATATCCCATTCCACAATGCGCTGCTGTGTCCAACTAAAATCTTTGTTTTATTTACTGCCATGTGTGAAGGATGGCTGCTAGGTGTGTGCTGATTTGTATGTGTTGACTCACTGGATGCCAGAGCCTGTTGGACGAGAACTTCTCCTGAATGGACCTTTGGTTCAGGATGATGTAGACAGGGACACCCCGAGAGGCAGCACTGTGTAAATCTCCAATTATTGCACTATCTGTCAGTCTGTCTGTCACAATGGCAATTACCTGAATGACATGAAAATATGCATGTATATAATTTAGCCTGCATTTTTAACTAAAGCCCATTTCTTTCAGTGTTCAGGCCTATCATAAGAATACAATCATAACAAAAAGAAATGATGAAATCATAATGGCCTAAAGTTAAAATTTGATGGTTAATTATCAGAGAAATACCTAACAACAAAAAAGAGTTCTTTAAGAGGAAGTGCTGCCTCTAAGGCTTTCTCTACGGGAAATCTTCAGGAGTGCAAAACAAAACCCCAACAACATAAAAATATTTAACTCTAGGAGAAATTTAGCAAGCAAAACAAACACAGGCGTCTTCATCAGGGTCTAAGCATATAACTAATTTCATTTTAGATATCCTGACTTTATGTACTTCATATGAAAACATAAGCTGTTTCTATTCGTGAAAATAATGAATCCAGCAGAAATTTGCGTACCTGTCTGGCTCTTTGTAACTGCCGTCTGATCACCTCTCTGACTGAAGGTTCCCCTTCTGCAGGAGGGCTGGTGTGGACTGTGACACTTGCCGTTACCGACCAGGGGGTTTTATGAGGCCAGCCCAACTCCAGGCCCGGGACGGGCACGTCCGAGTGGCAGGGAAAGTAACTGGAACAGAAGTCCTCCATCTCTGCGATGCTCTCTGCTCCATTCTCATGTTGTAGCCACGGATCGTTGAAAGAGTAGCTCTGAACCCAGCTTTTAAACTGGCTGACCTCTTCAGAGGATAAGAAGCAGTCGGGGAGCTCTTTGACCACTGAGTAGAAAGCCTCTGGTCCAGCGCTCAGCAGCTTCTCCACTGCTTCTCTCTCCTTCTCGCTATAGATGAACTCCGGGGAGGACTCATCCACCGGCAGGAAAACTGTATCCTCATCCACACTCTCCTCGTTGTTTGACATGGCTGTAGTCTTTCCCGGCAATAAGCGTTTACTTTTTTAAAGTAATGAAACTCAACTCATGTCGTTCTCCAATAAAAAAAAACTGAGATTTTCATCCTCTCCTCCAGAAAAGAAAAAAAAAAGCTCACTGTTTCCATTTATGGCAGTTCAGAGATATCTTGTCCTCGCTTGCAGTCAGACTTTATGATTTTGTCCCCTAAAACAACCAAAAAATAAAATAGGTTGAAATGTTTGATGACTAAATCAGCACTTTGTGAAACTCACCTCCTGGGCAGTTTGATCTCTTTGGCTCAAGTGTGATACGATACGTAAGCTGAGAGCAGCTGTGATCCTTCTGTGTGTGTCACCTCACCTACCTGTTATCTAATTTCATTAAAGGCTTCCACTCCTTGTTGCTGACACCATTCCCAGATTCCAGACATACTGCGGAGCTGACGGATCGCTTCGGATCACAGTCGCCCTGGCATGACTCTACTTTATCCCCTCTGTCTTCACAGCATATTTTGCCGGTTTCCGATTGTAAAGAAGATGCATATACCTGTGTGTGAGGCGTGTAGTGGATTATAGTGCCATGCATGCTTTATATGAGAAGCCGTCGTGCGCCACGCAGTGTTTTTTTTCTGGGACCGGTCCAGCCTGACGGGTAAGTTTACGGGTAACGTGTAATACTGTATCTAGCTCTGCATCAAACGGTGATAGGTGCAATCTGTAAGCTGTTTCATTTTGATTTCTTTGGAAGTGCTTTAACGAAGCTGTTTGTGTTTCTAAAGCACGATAGCGCGGGAGTTATCACTGATTCCCCCCCCCCCCTCTTCTGTTCTGCTGTTCCGCTGAAAATGTCCCGAGGTTGCTTTGAAAAGATAAACAGCAAATGCCACAAATTGGTGAGCGATTGAATGACAAAGAGGGAGCAACATTTTTGCAGCCACAGCGTTATGTCGTTAGATTAAACCTCCTCTGCTTTACAGGCAAAGCACTTACTGAGAGGAAAGCCAACACAGACTGAACCCTTTAAAAACACAGGAATGCTATTTAGCCCAGCTCTGAGTGCATGTTCTTTTAATGAGTACATTTTCTCATTGCATAAAAAAAATATATAAACATTAAACACAGAAATTTATACATATATTTGCTCACTCAATTATAGTAACTTTGAATTCCCTGGAAGCAGGAATAAGAAAACTGAGCTGTGGCATTTAAAGATGCATTTCATTCTCAGTCATCTTATTTCCTCATCATGTGTGCTTACTCTTAACTGGAGGGACAGAAAGAGAAAGAGAGAGACAGATAAGGTCTCTGAATAAGGTGCCTTCGCTTCAGCTTCTTGTTGGCTCACTGCTTCTTGCGCAGGTGGATGTACAGGACTCCGCTCACGAGAAGCAAGGGGACGCACAGCCACGCCAGGACGAAACAGTAGCCAAAGTGTCCTTTGTTCAAGACTCTTGAGTCATCAAAAATCTCCTTTCTGTGGAAGGTGGAGATGAGGCAAGCGGCAAAGTCCGCGAAACCTGCAAACGTTTTAAAATAAATAAACAACAACAACAACAAAAAATCGTATTTTAAAGCCACATTAGAGAGTGAGTGACATTGCTTAATTTTACAGTCATCAGGTGAGGTGATGAACCTGATACATTGGTTCACACTAACACCTGTCTGTTACTTATGCGTTTTGTTCTTTACGTTTATATACAGTACTGTGAGCGGAATTCCTCAGGATTTTGAGCCCTAAATGCTCAGCGAGGGTGGTGGGGGGTGAGGCAGTCAGAAGAAACAGGAGCATTTATTGTCACTTTAATACACATCTATGATGACTCCCTAAATCATTTTAAGGTTTTAAATATCAATGGTCATATACAGTTTTCTCTTTTATTAAGAGAAGAGGAGCCATGTCATTTGACATATCAGTGCTTTCCAACCTCCAAGAGCTGTCTGTCATGCTCTACCTCACTGGTTTCTAAAGATGCAGCATATATATCCCTAAAAAACAAAAAGATTGTCGGTTGGTCTGTTCTGATTGGCTGCCTGTCCCAAAACGAAAGTTCTAACTGCAGGTGGGAGGGGCTTCTGTGCCTCAGATGACCATCTTTGGAATATATGCTCTCGCTGAGCGATTATCTGAACATCTATTAACCGAAGCTTACAGGAATTACTTGTACATACTTTTGCCTCATTATCTGAAACGTAGGTCTTGAGCATGCACCAATGTATCAGCAAAAAAAATAAGGAAAAACACAATAAGCTGACTTTGAAGTTTAAAAACACTTCTTTTCTTTTCTTTTAAAGTTTTAAGCAAGTGGTGATAAGACAGGAGCTAATACTGAATTTGTTGAGGACTATATACAGCTGTGGTTTAACACACGGTGGTGCTCTAGTGAGCCACAGTTTAAAGGTGTGAATCGTGCAATTGCTTTGATTATAATCACAACCATCAGGCTACACAAACTGTTGTCAGACCAGTTTATTGATGTTTTGAAGTGCAGATGAGATAAGAAAACTGTTTGATGACAAGAAAATGAACATCTTTGTCAAACTTCAACCATATAGAAGAAAAGCATGATTCAAAAAGTTTGGAAAAATAAGAAAGCAACTGTTTTTAAAATTAAATCAATGTAATGCAAGTGTCCAGTCCAATTAATACAAAATTAGCTAAGCTGTTAAGGCCATAAGAGAGTGAAAATGTAAAATTCTCACAGGTTACTCTTTGCAAAGAAAGAAGAAGTCTTTAACTACCTGCAAAGGCCTGACAGAGGCCTGTGATGTAGAACAGGCTTCCTCTGGACATGGTGAACAGCTGACCCAGAAAAACCAGGAAGGAGATTGAGGAGAAGACCACAGAGAAGACCATGAGGGCCTGGATAGACTGCAGCCAGTCTGGAAGAACAAGTTTTTTTTTCATATTTATATCCTGTTTGTAGCCTGTACATAGCTTGTACTCACTACAGTCTGTACATACTTATAGTTATAGAATATTCATAACATACTTCATACCATGTACACTATAACATACCATAATAGATCCATTTCTGTAATATACTTACATATCCATATTACTGCTAATATATATTGTAATATATCTATATCATGGCTAAAGCACTTCTGGATGGATGCAAACTGCATTTCGTTGCCCTGTACCTGTGACATGTGCAATGACAATAAAGTTGAATTCTATTCTATTCTATTCTATTAAAGGAAGAGCATGGCTCACTATGGAGCTTTGAACTGTTATGCAATAGCTAGTGATGCATAAATGAAATTAGAGATATGAAGTATGAAGTTAGAAATACTTTCTTACCGCTTTTATTGATAGCAGAACACAACCAGGCTTCTGTAGCATTGTCATACATGCAGTAATGCCAGAGGTTGGAGACTTCTGATTCTGTCCAAACCCACCAGGTCTAAAGAAAGAAAGAAATTCAAAGTATGCTCACTCACACATTAAGACAAATATGCAGAAAGGCACATGGCACAAATCTACAGCTGGTATGTTGAGAAGCACCATTTTTTTTTGCTCAGCGCTCTTCATGTGACATACAGAGTAACAGCGACATCTGTTGATAGAAGAGGGTAAATTATTTAACACAATTTCCCACGTCTCACCTTCTCAAGGGTGGCAATGACAAGCATGGCCAAGGAGAGCAAATGCAGCACCACTAAGGAGATGAGTAGGAAGACCATGGCTATTCTGAGATTTGAGGACGAGCCTAGAATCGGGTGTGCAAATGACCCTGTGAAGTATGTGAGAAAGTAAAATGATTAATTATTAAAAGGTTTTATAATTAGTCAGTGAACCCTCCTCTTTGTCTTCTTCTTTTATGCTATTTAAAGTGGCCCACAGATTTCCGTGGCCTGACACACTGGACTCTTTGTCTGCTTCTGGGCAGTTTCACTGACAATCTCTGCTCATTTATCAAGGCACAGGCACGCCACACAGAAGGAAGTGGATGCAGGGGAGTTGCTCCATCTCTTTAGACTCTATCCAGTCTCTGAGGAGCACATGAAAACATCTGCACCCTGTAACATCTGTAAACAAACATGTAGTATGAAACCCTTATGCTCATGATCGAATACTGTGGCTTCTACTTTTTAAAATCTGGATATAAACCTCCAGCTTTTAAATGCACAAAGCATAAAAATCATATTAATGAATAAAAAGTTTTTAACACTTTGTCAAATTATTTTTTTGTAAACAGGCCTCTGAGTCAAAACAAAACAAAACAAGTAAAACTATTTAAATCTTTTGATAAGTCAGCAAATTTACTAAAACTTAAATCAAATGTTTCCTCTGTGTGACTAATAACTGTCACTGCGGTAACAGAAGAGAGGGAAATAAACACTTTCCTGAACATTTGGGAAGCTCAAAGGGGAAATTACATAGTTAAGTAACAGTCTTCAGTTTCACTAACACATCTGGATAAAATTATTATTATTTTATAAAGCTTGCACACTACATTAGAAATTCTCCTTTTAAGTGATGTTTTTTTGTCTACTTTTTCAAATTAGAAATGGATAAAATTAAATTTTGAATTTGATTTGTCACCTTTTGAGTCTGTAAATTGCACGTCTGTTTACATTGGCACACTTCACTGTGTCGTTACCCTGCCAGGAGTTTGCATTGGTCTGGCATTACAGGGAAATGTTGCTCTTAAATCTCAGATGATCCAGAAAGACAGCGCTAAGGTATACTGTACAAAACTCCAGCATATCTCAAGATTAACACAGAAAGTTTAACTTCATAAAAGCTCAGAGAAGTATTTTGTTAGTCTCTTTATAATCCTCCCTAACAAGTGTTTCTGTGAGTAAACGTCTTACCCGTTTCAAAGCGTTGGAGTCGAGAGCTCGAGAGAGATCCTCAGATAGTTTTCCCTAGTGACTCCTATCCACTATCTCTGCTTTTTCGTTCCTTGCAGAGGTTTTTGCTTGAAAACTTGGAGAGAAGGGCACCGAGGAGGAACGCAGAGTTAGACATAGGAGGAGTTCTCTACAGCCATTTCCTCCAAACTTTCCCTGCCCTCCCCCCAAATCTGTGGTCGGGACCAGCCCGACACCAAAAAAAATAACATTCCTGTGGACCTGCGTGAACACAGAACATATTCTTTGCAGTTTCCTGCACACATCCCATCTGTACCGAAAATATGGGTCATAATAATAACAACAGTGTACTAATTAGGGGGTGTGTTGAAAAATAAAAAGGATCCCACAGCATTTGTCATGATACTGCTAGATGTGTGGGCGGCACACGATTAAATTGCTACAGACAGATTTTTGTGCCAATGCTGCATTCCTGCTCATGCTGTTCATTGAGCCTTGCAGCTTGGTATGAACACCACTATATCACTTCCTACGTGAGGCGACGGAAGGACAGGAAATAAGGGCTGATTCCTGCCCACTTTTGATTGTAAATGCAGAGGAAATCTCAGACCACCCAGAATAAAACACACACCGTTTCATCCTAAATTAAATCCCCAGAGACGATAATGATTTGTCTTTAAACTCAACTTCATCAAGTGACGTCATTCACGGTAAAGGTTTACTTAATTGCCCTACCAGGTAGTAGACTTTGTCTCACTAATGAGAGACTGTCTTCTGTGTACCTGAAGTAGTGTCAAGATTAAAAAATATCAAATACAGAAAATAGGAAGAGGCTGGATTATTTTTACTGTTGTATTCATGTTTAGGAATCACTTTGGTTCTTTAAATTGCTGCTTATTATGCGGTTTCATTACAGTGCCACCTTAATACACATGAACTTATTAAAGACATCATAGCCCGTGAAAGTAAAATTGTAGTTTTAAAAGTACAGTACTGGGCTTGAGACACCCTTTTTTTCTTTGCATTTTGCTAGGAAAATGGATATAGGTGCCAGCATTTATTGGAATATGTGCACACATACATAGAAGTACAGCATATAAAACAAAAACAGAGTTTATACAGTTCTAACAAGTTTCGTAGACAATGTTTGTTATGACCACCTTTATGCTCTCACGCAGCAGGCTTGGTTGTGGTTCCTATAGGATCTCTAGAAGTAGAATTTGAGGCAGAGCCTTCAGCTCTCAGACCCCTCTACTATGGAGCCAAATCCCAGTTTGCGTCCTGGAGACAGACACCCTTACTAAATTTAAGGTTAGCCTATGCCCTAAGACAGCTGGGATAGGCTCCAGTGCCCCCCCACGATATAGGCTCAGATTTCATGGAAGGTACTGAGCACTTCTTGTCCATTCACCTCTTTTCACTCCTCAGGTGTTTATATCCCACTGTAGCATGTCATTAAATCCTTGTGTTCTCTTTCCATCCTCTCTTTTCTATTCTTCTCTTTCCCCTTCACCCCCAGTCGCTCACAGCAGATGGCTGCCCCTCCCTGAGCTTGGTTCTGCCAGAGGTTTCTTCCTATTTAAAGGGGTTTTTCCTTCCCACTGTTGCTGAGTTTTTGCTCACAGAGGATCATTTAATTTTCCTCCAAATACTGTAAGGTCTTTAACATACAGTGTAAATTGCTTTGAGGCAACTTTAGGTGTAATTTGGCACTACCCAACTAATCCTGCACTGAACTGAGTTCACTGAGGCAACTTTTCTTGTCATTTGTTTTAAGTCATCGTCAGGAATAGTTCTCCACACATTTTAAAGGACATTTACCTTTTTTTCCCCATATTCAGATGATCCTGCACTGCTTCAGTGAGCTGAGGTCCAGGCACTGGGGAGGTTAATCCTTGATTGTGGTTTTTCCCTCTATCCAGGTAGGGTTTTACTGAATTGACAGGTTGTTTGGGATCATTGTCATGCTCAAAAACCAAACTGATATTTTTATCAAGATCAAGTGGTGGAAATACAGACCCAAACCATGACAAAGCCTCCACTGTGTTTCACGGATGCCTGTTGACGCTCACTGTTGCACCTCTCTCCTCAACTCTGTTGATACTTACAATGATTGGAACCAAAGATATAAACTTCCATAAGACCTGCTGCCACGGTTTTTCCAGTCCAGTTGTGTGTAATAAGGTACCTCATAATTGTCTCCATTTCCCTTCCATAACAATGGCTTCTTGACAGCCAACCTTCACTGCGATCGTTTCTGGGGAAGGTTTAGCGAAAATCAACTAAAAGGCCATATATCAAGTTTCAAGTTTGTTTTTGTTTGTTTTTTTTAAAGGACAGACAGCACACCATGCTGAAATATTCCACTTTGACTAATAGCACTTTGTTTGCAACAATAAAGTCATTCCCAAAACCAAATCTCTCTTTCACAACAAATAACAGTCACTACAGTAACATGAGGAAAATAAACATTAATCCTTTTGTAATCTGAAGCATCCAGGAAGCTCAAATGGGAAGTGACATCATAAAGTAATACTCTTCACTTTCAGTTCACTAATACAGCAGGAAAACATGAGTAAACTGATTATTATTATAAAAAACTGATTATTACCAAAAAAAAAAAAGAAAAAAAAAAGGAAAAAAGAAAAAAGCAGACGCTACATGTAACTTTATAGCTCTGTACATTAATGCAGCAGTGCAAATTTTAATTGTCAGGAATTTTTTATTGGTTGTATTGGAAATCTTTCCTCCAAAATTTTGGGAAAACTGGGAAATTGATGTTGTACTTCTTTATCAAACTATTCAGAAAGAAAGCACTAAAATTTAAAATCAAAGTCTTCGAGGGCATGGGGGTTATTCGTTCTTTATTTATCCAGGTAAAAATCTCATTGAGATTAATCATCTAATTTCCAAGAGAGACATCATGGTATCATGGCAGCAAGAGTTAAACATGTACCACATAACTACAAAACTACTTAAAAACCAGATACAATATTCTGTACAAACATGTGAAAAATATACAACAATGATTTAGAGCAATATTTAAAGTTTTAAGAATTATTCTCCACTTTAAGATAGACTTAAAGTTCCAAGGAAACCAATGTTAGATGCGAAGGACATAGAAAAAAAAAACCTTTATGCCTTTATGAAAGTGTGTGAAAGGGTGGATGAGATAAAGTATAAAGTATGAAGTGCTTTGAATGCCCAAGTGCAGTAGAAAAGCAAACATTTTCATAAAGGTTCTGTATTTTGTTAGTATTTGACCACATCTTCAAAGACCAATGCTGTAACATTTAACCAGGGATGTGCAGGGGCTCAAAATTAAAAAGGAGCGCATAGAACCAGGGTGAATAACAACAACCCATATTCATCAAGAATCTAATATAATATAGAATTGCACCATACTATCACTCATCAGGTGGGGACAATGCAAAGCAAACATAGCCTATATTTTACCTGATGGGGTACAATGTTACTGCTGCTGATAGTGCTGGAGGGCAGGGCGGTGTTGATCTGAGACTGTAGACCTCAAGTACAGAGGAGAAATGCTAACTGATTAAAGAAGTGTTATGAAATAATACAACGCAAAGATTGGTGACAGCTCTTGGAACCACAGAGCAACAGATTTAAAAACTGGGAAATAAACTGAAACTGGAGTATTAGTAGGGCAAAAGAAAAGGGGTGGTCATGGTAAGGTATGAATGTTATACACGCAAAAAACTAAATACGAAACACACACTGTGACATTTTATACCTTCTCCAGAATACTGTATGCTATGACCACAAGTTTGCATCCTGGTGCTGAACTAGAATCCTTCCCTTATTTATTCCTAGTGCTATAATAATAAAGTTATAGGAAAGTTATAAATATAAAATTATTTATGATGATTCAATTTGTTGGACTATCCACTCTGTGTAAGGCTGAAAGCTTATTAAATGTTTAATCTGTAAAGATACAATTTTGCTGCAGAAAAAAAAGCAGTCATATTTGAAATATAAAACGAATGTAATCTGTCTCTTAATGCATTCTTGAAAATACGGTGTGTTTTTTGACTATCATTATAAAAACGCATAATTATGTGGATATACAATCGCTTTAGTAAAATATAAATGAACTATTGCTCATGACCACTAAACCGGAGCAGAATAAAATATTAAATCGTATCCTTGTAATTGACAATGAGTTTATTAAACTGAATTAGTTTAATCTCACAATTTCAAAAATACTAAAGGAAAATAATGAAAATTATCCGTGTTCTCCAATAAATTACTCATGTTGGTAAAGTTCTCTCCCGATGCCTTCAGAGTCACACGGACAAATTACAATCAGTTGTTACAGGGATGAATTACCACCCACCGCCTCTTGTGGCGGCGTGAAGTAGGAAATCCGGTAAAGGTAACTAAATGGTACTGATAACGCCACCTGGGGAGGGAGTTACACCCCGGAAGAGATTACATTAGCCGGTCCAAAGTTTTAATAGCTGCAAAAGGCACGCAGGCTCCTTATTAACAAGGAAGAGGCGTGGTAAACAATATCATAAAACAAGATGTATTAAACAAAATAACTGCAAATACAGAGCTGCAGAAAAGAAATCCGCAAATTAAGAGGCAAGACGTACAATACCAAACCTTTAATTAACAAACATTACTTAAAACAGCAAGGTTCGCTGCCACTATGTTGCCCTAGTTAAAATAGCAGCTCAGTAAAATAGTTAATTAAATATGGTGGAGACAGGGTAATGGGGGGGGGGCAACCTAATGGCACACCCAGCAAGATTAAAACATAATAAAACGTTAATACTAAAACACCACAAAACACGAATAACCAATCGATGCCAGTCAACACGAGAGCAACAAAGCAACAAGAAGAAGGCAGCAGCAGAGAGTAGGCCTGTAACAAGTGAGAAAAACAGTTGGCCGGGGTCCACCCTACTATAAGCCAAATTGCAGAGAACCTATGAGGATCCTACTCACCACCCTTCAACAGTTACGCAGATTAAACAATTGCAAGGGGAAATGAATCCGAACTGCAATGCTTAAAGACAACCTGTGATCATCGCCACCTACAACAGGAAAGAGTGCCAAATGTCAGGAGGAGTCAGAGTAGGCCACAGCTGCTCCTTATAACCAGCCTCCGATTAAAGAGCTAAGGGAGGGGTGAATGTTCATGCTGCGTTCACAAACACCATG